GGAGTTTTGGGAGAATCTATTATGAAATCTGGGTAATATGTTATTTCTCATAATAAAGTATATTCCAAAAAGGAAGGAAATAGATAGGTTTTTGATTCATATATAGTACAGGAACTCATACTTAAATATTAGTTAATACAGCAAAATTTGGTTTGAGAGAATATTCCAGAAAATAAATAAATATCAGCAAATAACATTTTTCCAATTAACAAGAGTATGTAGAAGCAAGAGAGCAATTTTAGTGAAGAATCAATATGGAAGAGAAAGATTCTTACTCTTTCTCAAGATCACTACAAAAGTTACCAAATCAAGATTTATTTTCCTGAATTTCAAATGTTCATGGGGAGAAAGCTTAATAATAATAATAATAATAATAATAATAATAATAATAATAATAATAATAATAATAATAATAATAATAATAGTAGTAGTAGTAGTAGTAGTAGTAGTAGTAGTAGTAGTAGTAGTAGTAGTAGTAGTAGTAAAGTTGGAAGGGACCTTGGAGGTCATCGAGTCCAACTCCCTGCTCAGGTAGGAAACCCTACACCATTTCGGACAAATGGTTGTCCAGTCTCTTCTTAAAAACTTCCAGTGTTGGAGCATTCACCGCTTCTGGAGGCAGGTTGTTCCATTGGTTAATTGTTCTAACTGTCAGGAAGTTTCTCCTTAGTTCTAGGTTGCTTCTCTCCTTGATTAGTTTCCATCCGTTGCTTCTTGTCCTACCTTCAGGTGCTTTAGAGAATAGCTTGACTCCCTCTTCTTTGTGGCAGCCCCTGAGATATTGGAACACTGCTATCATGTCCCCCCTCGTCCTTCTCTTCGTTAAACGAGACATACCCAATTCCAGCAACCGTTCCTTATATGTTTTAGCCTCCAGTCCCCTAATCATCTTTGTTGCTCTTCTCTGTACTCTTTCTAGAGTCTCAGCATCTTTTTTACATCGTGGTGACCTAAACTGGATGCAGTATTCCAAGTGTGGCCTTACTAAGGCATTGTAAAGTGGTATTAATACTTCACGTGATCTTGATTCTATCCCTCTGTTAATGCAGCCCAGCACTGTGTTGGCTTTTTTGGCAGCTGCAGCACACTGCTGGCTCATATTTACTGTAAGTGATTAGTTCTTGCTTTTTTAGTTCAGGGTTTTTTCCTCTCTTTTTTAAGAGAGATAATTCACCCTAATAAACTCCTAAATTTATCAAATAAGACTGAAAAGCTATTTTTTTTACATTGCTCAATTGCGGACTTATGAAAAGTACAAAGAAGAACAACTAAGATGATTAGATAAAAACATATATAGAATGGTTGCAGGAATTGGGTATGGCCAGACTAGAGGAAAGAAGGACTAGGGGTGACATGATAGCAGTATTTTCCAAAGCACCAGAAGGTAAGACAAGAAACAACAGAAACTAATCAAAGACAGAAGCAACCTAGATTAAGGAGAAACTTCTTAATAGTGAGGACAATTAACCAGTGGAACAGCTTGCCTTCAGAAGTTGTGGGTGCTTTCACCACTTTAGGTTTTTTAGGAAAAGACTGGACAGCCAACAGCTTGAGCAGGGGGTTGGACTACAAGTTCTCCAAGGTCCCTTTCAGCTCTATTCAGATTGAATATCTCAATAAAAGAAGATCTAAAAGAAGTACTTATAGAATTTCTTTGTTCCATTCTGCCCATCTTCAGGTTCAGTAGATGAAGAGATTCAGTCCTGTCACTAACCTCTTTCTCATGGGAATGATTTAGTCCTAGAGTTTAAGAACTTAAAATTGCTAGTTGTCTTAAGAATAGATGTTCTTCCATATATATTATGGAATATAGCAGTGGTGGCGAACCTATGGCATGGGTGCCAGAGGCGGCATTCAGAGCCCCCTCTGTGGGCACGCGCGCCGTCGCCCCAGTCCTAGGCCTTCAGCTGGGTTTTATAAAACCTTTTCACTTTAGGCCTCCGCCGCCATGTGCAAAAAAAAAAAAAAAAAAAGGTTCAATCAGTCAATTTCAACTTCTCGCGGGAAAAAAAAGATCTTGCAAAGTTGGAATTGATTGATTGAACTTTTTAGTCCCACCCAGTCTGCCGTTACCACTGCAGCCACGCCCAGCCAATGGGCCACACCCAGCCAATGGGCCACACCCACCCGGCACTCAACGATGCATAAGTGGGTTTTGGGTTGCAGTTTGGGCACTCAGTCTCTAAAAGGTTCGCCATCACTGGAATATAGAATATAGAATAGAAATAGAATACAACCTGGTTTCTGGTTTCTTGGAAACAATTTTAATATTTCAGGCCTTCTTTATTTTTGTAGAGAGTTTTATAGCCTGGTAGAATCTGATTCTATCTATCTATCTATCTATCTATCTATCTATCTATCTATCTATCTATCTATCTATCTATCTATCTATCTAATCTAATCTATTTATCTATCTATCTATCTATCTACCTAATCTATCTATCTATCTATCTATCTACCTACCTACCTACCTACCTATTCAGTATCAGATTCTACCAGGCTATAAAACTCTCTACAAAAATAAAGAAGGCCTGAAATGTTAAAATCATTTCCAAGAAACCAGAAACCAGATTGTATTAATTAAAAAAAAATAGAGTAGAAAGTCTAAGAAAATGAAAGGAAGTTCTTCCTCAATACATACTTGTACTTATTTCCAGTACGTGGGTGTGGCTGATTTTTACAACGATAAAGAGTTGGGTCTCTCATACATCCATTATTACTATTCATATCAATTTTTGCTCGTAGACAGCAGGTCTGCCCAAATTCTGTTCCTTTTTTCATTTCCTCCCACATCTGAAAATTCTTCTCAACAGCTATCAGATTACAAATATTTAATTAGGATTAAATTTGTTCTAATATTATGATACAATATTTACAAATGAAAAATAACTTATATTTATCTATAAAGTAATTTGCATTTACCTACAAAATATATGTCTTTGAATTTTATCTCAACATTATTTCCAGTTGGTTGGACATTATCCAATCATAAATTAAACCATAAACCATTATTCATATATCCCAGTGGCTTGATTCATGCATCACAGTCAGCCAAACTCAAACAAATAGTATGTTGGCTTATATGAGATACCTAAATGCAGCCAACATCTCAATGAGGTTATTTTTAATCATTATCTCAAACACAGAAGGTTATGTAACTTATGCTAATGACATAATTACCAAATATTAAATGTTTCATTAATTCAATTTAAAAAGGATAAAACTTTGATAAAAACCTCTTACAATTATTCCTGTGTTTAGATTCTATTCTCTGTTCTCTCTCCATTTTCATCTGTTCTGCTGGTGTATCATCCACATAAGCCTTTCCTTCATGAATGAGTTTCTCAGCGTATTTCATTATTTTTTCAAAATGATCAGAAGTGTATGTAAATTGGTTGGGCTTAATTTGAAGCATTGCAACATCTTCCAAGATCACCTGTATATAATATCAATTGGATTGATATTTAAAATTGTTTACAATTATTATTGTATTAGAGATGGCAACCTCTCCTAAGTTGCTACATTTTATCATTTCAAAGAGCTGTAAATGTGTAATTAAAGAAATAGAATTTTAGAAAATTTACTGACAAAGCCAATGCTGCCTACTTAAAAGACTATCAGAAGTTTCACAACATTTTAGTAAATTCACCTAAGCTGTTTATGGGTTGGATTCTTTGTCCTTAGAACTTCAGCATCACCCACTATGCCTCACTCATCGCGTCATCAGATAATCGCCCGGCCGCCCTCTTCAGGGTAACCCGCTCTCTCCTCCAATTGGAGGGGGGGGACCCCCTGGAGGGGAGGGCAGAGGATTTTGCGCAGTATCTGTATGACAAAGTCGCTCGGATTCGGGAAGGCTTGGACTCCGACTGGTTGGCCCAGGGGGAGGAGACGGGAGC